CTGATGGCTGACAGACCTTCACCAGTTAGCTTAGGTCAGTCAGTCACATTTGCTTAGAAGTGACTGGATTGACTCTCAAGGGCATCAGACACAAATTCTTTTGTGCTCTGATGCTCTTCATGTTAGATACTTAGACGTGAACCTAATCAACAACCCTCCAGTAAGGTCCAGTCATCCTCATGAATTAAAATGTGATTTTAAAAAACCAGAATAATTGGCTTCCAACTACATTCAAAACAAAGCTTTGCTGTATTTGTATAAAACAATCACAGACAGGTGTTGTACACTGATTCAGGTTTTTTTTTTGAGCCAGCACTTGACAAGTAAATTTGCCCCATGTCCTCTGCTGTTGTTTCCGTACCCATCTCTCCTCATAAAAGCCATGCATATGTGTCATACAAGTTATGGACACTGCCTCAGCTCTCATCTTAGTGCTATACATGTGCACCTGGAAGAGCACCCAAATTTAAAAGTTCCTTCCTCACAGGTGGCCCAGTGCCATGGCCCTCGAGCACCAACACCAGCCCAGGCAGAGGTGTCAGAGCTCAGGTGCTGGGCAATGCCTCTTAAACTGAAAGCCTTTCCTGCCTCGTCCTGGGAGACAGAAGCAACCCCATGGGTTTTTGTCTTCCCAAGTACGCTTGCTATTTAACTGTCTTGTAAGCCACATTCTTTCAGACATTTCCTGTGTCTGAAAATATTTTCCCATGCCATAATCCGAACACACACTGTTTACATGACTGCTTTAACCTAGACAATGTTAAATTGGCACTTGTTAGAGTGGTACCTCTGTCTCTTTTAGGCTGTCCTCACACTTAGGGATACTCCTGCCTCCCAGTATTTCATGTCTAAACCTAGGAAAGTAAACAATCAGTTTCCAGTTAGTTTGATACACGGGACTGGGCTTTGCCTAAGAAAGGCTAATTAGATCCTGCTGTAATTTACAGCAAGTGTACCATAGACTCAAACCATCAACAAGAGTCTGCCCAATATAAACATTTATATCTCTGACTCTGTAATGAAGGAATCTTAAAAATCATAACTATGCTGCAGGGGTAAAAAAAAAACCCAAGCAAACACTGATGCATCAATTTATCTACATTTGTGCTGCTGTGGACAATTTTACAAGAACTGTAATTTGGGACAGGAATTCAAATCCATATAGAAACTTCTAAAAAACCCTTTGAAGTAGGATTTCCCCGCACCTTATTTCACCTCTATGTCACAGAGCCATGGGATGTAGCAGTTAAATTCCATGTCTGCGTATCAGATACGAGTTACAGTTTAGTTATCAAATTCTCATCACCATGATATGGAGATTTGCAACCAAACAAGTTTTTAAAGTCTATTTTTAAGTTAACAGTATAGCTGATGGTAGAGAATAGCCATTTCATTACTCAGCCTTCCCATAACAACAGTGTGTTTTTTTAGGCTGGGGTATAGCAGACTATGGAGCATGCTGGTTTTGCCTTCTCCAGCTTGGATTGCCTGCGGTAACATTGCTACAGCAACAATCTCTTTCCTCAAGCCAATGCTAAAGCAGGAACTTCCCTCCCGCCCCCCTCCTCCAGCTGCTAAGCAAAGAATAAACTTTTCGCTTTGCCCCTCCTTTATTGGAAGGGGAATAGGGTAATATGCTGTAATTGGTTTTCCATGTTTGCCAAGAGTCTGTTTCCTCTTATCATCCACAATATTTAACATAAGTCTTGTAATAGTTCCAAAAATAATAAAATCTGTCCCAAGAATAAAAATGATAGATCCACAACATGCTGCTTTTTTTGCCATGGTCTTGGTTTCGTAACATTCTGTTAGTAGTTTTTATTGCCTAATGTTGTGGTTTCTTTCATACGCAGCAGACCCAGTAAAGACATTTCATCAGCTACTTACACAGCAGCAGCCTGGATTATTTACAAATGGAGATTTCAGTAGTGTATTACAATAAATCACCACTGCATACTGTTAAAGTTACATTGCATTAATGCGGCAGAAGAAAACCCAGAGATTCCAGGGGGAGGAACATTAGGTATATACAAATCATACGTATGATATCAGGAAGCAAATTTATTAAGATATCCAAATAAAACCTGTTAGTCTTCCTGTCTCCCCTATCTCCTCCCATGCAATAGCAGAAGAGTACTAGGCAAATTATATCTCCCCACACATGCAAAACAGCGCACACAGTATGTGTAACCCATGCAATACTTCCTTCATGATTTTATATCATGCAGATAGCATATCCCTCTCTCCCTCTGCCCCACCCTTCCAGCCCTAAAATAAGTGCCCTGTACTGGGCAAATACATAAGTGTAGGAGTTAGGGATGTGGAGCTGGTAAAGATGGAGAGCAGCACTTTGCTCACAGGGTTCAGTCTGAATGAAAGAATACAAAGCCAGAAAAGACAAAAAGGAGATAACACAAAAGAGAGACTTGATTTAGAAGGAAAAAAAGACAAAACCAACTAAAAAACCTAAGAAGAAAGCTGTAGGACAGTCAGTAGTATCAAAAGAACAGTTCATCAAAAGGAACCACTACCTCAGCATCTACAAAAGTAATACCCTACAGGTAACAACTTTGAGAAAAATGCAGGCACATTGGGGTGCTCTCATTAGGAAAGACTGCTTTAAAAAATAAAAAAAAAAAAAAGAAGAAAAAAAAATCCTTCAATGCCTGAAATTGTCTTCTGATATTTCGAAGTTAGTTTAATACATTTTTTTCATTCAAATTCAGTTTAACTGTAACACTGAGTCTGATAAGAGGTTTTCCTCTCTTTCCAAGTACAGATTTAGCGCTCTAACAGTCACAGGTAAACTCTTAAAGCAGAAATAACTTTCCCAATTTAAATGTATGCCATTTAGCCTAAAACCAACGTGTACTCTTCTAACCTCACCAATATATAAATACTGCAGGTGAAGGCTCTTCAATGAGCTGCCACCGTGAACTGTGTCAAAAAGTGTAACACAGCAGAAAGGATACAAACCCTGGAGCAGGTGACAGAGCACTTGCTGCCTGCTAAGGACTTCAGACACTTTTGTTATTTTAGCTTATCAGCAAGTGGTTTTGCAGTCATTTTACCTTAACTCACTGCTATATCTGATCTCACATTCATAAGTCAGAATGACCGAAGCCAACAGAAACATGCAGGTGTGTAAGATTAAGGGGGATTGTCAATCTTTCTTAAATAACTGCCAAAACTCCTGGAGCTTCTCATTTTTAGTAGGAGAGACAAGTCTTAAGTCATGCTTAGAGGACTTATCACCCCAAACTTACTAACTCCAAACTTAACTATGGTTTGTATCATATGCTAAACTTAGAATAAGGGAAACTGCACCTTGGTATGATTTTTTGGTATCGATACTTTTTCATTACATGTAACAGCTGTAAAAGTTGCTGGGGAAAAATTTAATGTTTTAGTTCTTTGGTTGTGAAAATGCAACCAATAAAAGCAACTTGAATTCAACATGAAGTCTCAACAAGTTATCAGTCACTCATGTTCAAGTAAAATTCAAACCTATGAAAGAATAACCTTGTTAAAGCACATGTTCTAGAAGTAAACCATCCTGCTAGGTTCTGTGCTATATAATTTTCAAATTCTAATAGGATAAAATAACATCAGGGCTTCTCAAAAAAACCCCAACAAAACCAACCCCACAAAAATACAGGGATCTGTAACTGGCAACAAAAGGATTATGTGTGCACAAAGTTTGTGACAAAAAGCCAGCCACAGTGCATGGAAACTTCAGTTTTGTTCTAGCTCCTCTTTGAAAGTACCAGATTCTTAACATAATGTACAGTGTAAGACTGACATGTGAGCCAGGGCCAACCAGCAGGATCAGCAATCAATTGCATACGTGACTTCAGTAAGTCACAGCACATTCCCCCTGCCCCTCACCCCCCAGAAAGCAGCCCTGGTGGCTCTTTGCTGCAGTAGCCCTAGATTCCTCTTCAATGCTTTCAGAAAAATGAGAGGCTGTCAGAAGCTTCAGTTTTGTAAATTATCACCACTTAAAACAGTGCGGACTTTTGTTATTCCTGGGATAGGGTACAAAACCCCCTCAGCTCCCTTAATGGGCAGTTTTTAAGGCTAAGAGAAATTTATTCCCATTTGCAATAGAGCTGATGCTGCTAAAGAAGAGCACACTTTTGCACATCTCATCCCAAGCAAGTCCTGCAATGTTGCCAGTTGCAAAAAAAAACTTCAGATAATTAATTCAGTCAAGTACTCTACTTCCTTCACTCCTTCTTGTGAACAGCAAGTTACTACATGCCAGTTTTCCCTTGGCATCCATGGAGTTCAGTCCTATGGTTTTACAGTCATGCAACACAATTTTCAAACTTCAACTGGAACAATAAGTGTGCTTTACAAATGCAAACTTCATATAATAAACAGTTAATAGTTGAAAGTATGTAAATTGAGTAACTTCTTAATAATAGTTGAAAACAATTATATTGCATTGCTGATAACGTTCCTAAGTGTGTAGAAAAGAACTGAAGTCAGCAACTAACACAAATCCATATTGATTGCCCTTTCCCCTAGATATCAACAAAAGGTTCCACACATTTTTTCAAATTTTATTTAATCTCATAACCACTGCTACGTTACACCTGTCAGGCTGAAGTTATTCACTCTGGATGTAAAGTTCTGACAATCAGAATGGGTAACATGAGGATCCCAGTCCTCCCGTTTTGTGCTGTGGTCAGTATTGGTCCAGTAAGACAAAAGTTTTGCAGTCACTGCCCCCCACCCCCTTTTGTTTCTCCCCCAATACATGAAGCATGGCCTAGCATTACTGTCATCTTTTTATCTGCAATTATTTAAATAGGATGAGATAGATGGAAACTCAGTTGTTTGCACAGTTGTAGGAAAAGTGACATGAACACTCTGTATTTTAACAAATAAACACTTAAACACAGGATTTTGTTCTGCACTGTTGCAACCCTTTCACTTGAGGCAAAACATGCCCTCCCCAACCACCACCATAATAAGTACCAAAACATTTCTAGTTTTGATTTTCATCAAGATTTCCAAACTGGCAGATTTTATTTTCACACCCTCTTCACAATAGACAAGATGCTTACCATATATTTAGGATTACAAGTTGTCACTAAAAGAAAACTTTACACAACCACTATACATTTAGGTTGAAAAACTGTCCTTGCATGAAAAATATACTTAGAAATCAAGTGGTAAACAAGAAAAAACCATTGAGAAAATATTAATGTTTTTATAATGTGCCATTTCAAATTTATCAACTCCTCCTCTACTTTTCATTCATACTCTGTTTTTACCTATATTATTTGTTAAGGCAAACAGCTAATCCATTTCTGAAGAGGTGCTGTGGAAATTGTGGACAAACAGCAAACATTTGGCATTAAAATAGATAGCACGCATGTAGCCTCTAGTAATATACATTAAGCATCTCTGTTGGACTTCAGGATAATGATGGGGAGCATGAACATGCTAACAATGTCAAAAAGGCTTAAAATTTAGCATCCAAGCAATTTCTATTAATGCTTCTGTAGTTTTCAAGCTCTAAGTAGTATAGAATTTATGCAAATGCATTAAAGAATTCTAGCTTGGCAAGTACACCCAAGCAGGTTATTAAACTATATATACAGAAAGTGATAAATACAGAATTAAAAGAGTCCTTCCGCTTCTCTTCATAGCCTTGAAAATTGACAAAAAACTTGAGGACAGCTCTACAATATTAAACATTAGGTAACCGCAGGAGCTGGGAAACCTAACTACACAAACTGATTAAAATACTCAGATGACTTTGTAGTGTTTAATACAATTCAGTTCGTAGTCAAGGGCACAAGACAACATTTAACAAAAATAATCACATCAATTGACCTAGAAATCAAATGTAAATAGATATGAATACAATCTCCAAAATCTGTCTTTAAGTGAACATTAACCATTTATTCAAAGTTATACAAGAATTTGAAGGATAAAGTCTTCTGCAACAGGAAACCGACTTACAAGTTTCATGTCTCAGTTGAATTGAAGTGGAGGCGAGCGGGGCGGGGGGAGGGAAGGGTGAACAAACAAGTTAGTAGGCCCCATCCAGGCAGCTAGAAAGTAAAAACAGGCTCAACAGCAGCCTCCTCCAGCTTGTTGTCCTCCCTGATTGCCTGCAAGTGTTGCATTAGTAGCAGCGTGTTGAGGGCCAATTTTTATGCCATTTGCCTGAAATGAAGTTGAATACACAGTGTAAACATTTTGAAACACTACTATCCTTGAAAAGCTGCTTTATCTATTTAGAATATAGCAAGTTCTTCTAAGGTATGCAATAAACATAGCAAAGTTTGTAATATTTAGTAACGTGCCCTTAGTGATTAAATATAATTTAAAAGAAGATGCCTTCCTTCTTCCTCATTTAAGTTTTATCTCCATGTTACACTCTGTAGCTTAAACTCCTAACAAAAAAAACCCACAAAGCAAGAACTGTATCTGAATACTACTTGGCATAAGGCTTTAAAAATACATAGCATTTGTTAAGAACGTATAACCTCTCCCCTCTTGCCAAAACCTCCACTAGTTTAATAGTTTAATATAAAACTTTTCCTCTCTAGACAGCACTTTTTCTGTGTTGAATCAGCTGTAGAGGCTAAGGGCATACGAGTGTTCTGTGTCATCAATAATTTCTGTGATCCCAAAAGACATGGCTACTTGCCAAGAACCCACACACAGCGTAGCTCTTTCATTCATCAAAATCACACTTATATCTTAACCCTCACTCCCTCAAGTGGATTTTACCTAAAAATACAGCACTTTGAGAAAAGTAATACAGTAGCTTCAGAAATTAAGCTCTTAAGGAAACTCTGCGTCACAGCAAATCTCAGATTTATAGTGCTTGGCAGTTGTTCTGCAGCAGTGGTAGCCTTCGGGTTTCTGGCACTCGCTCAGTATTGACAGCAGCTGATGTGGTTTCTTTTCGCTCTTTGACTCCTCTTTAATAAAAAGCATGCCCTATGGCTCATTGGTTTTGCCCCCTCTGGGCTGATAGCAACTTCTTGAAGAATCAAGGAGCTAGACTTGGCATAAAGCCAAATAAGTAGCACGGACTGTTGGCTCTTGACAGCATATTGCAATCAGAGCTCCGTAAGGCACAGTAAAGCAGTCAGCTACTATATGAGACTCGACAGATACAGCGAGCATGCTTGTTCAGAAACTCTGACTGCTCTCCAATTTATAATGCACTACCAACTGTAGGAAAATTGTGAAAGAAAATTTTAAAACTTTTCATCAGTGAACTGAGTTTAAGGAAAGTTTCACCAAAACACCACATATATACCAAACTTTCCAGTCAGAATTAGTGTCTTTGAAGGATGGTTATTCAAGTCTTATTTAGCTACAAGTTTCCTAATGCAATACTTTGCATACTACTGAAGTTTCTCATTTTTTCCTCTCTGAAGTCATCAGCAATATTTTTGATAGTCTAAGTTTTCTCATGTTGAAATATATTAAGCAGAAAGAGGTGAAACTATTTAATTGAGTCCTGCCCATTCCCTCACCACTCTGAGCAATTCTGCAAGGACTGTAATGTTTAAGAGAAGCCTCAGACTGACAGTCCTGGACTCTCCCACCCACAGAACAGAAACAGAACACAGTGGTGGTACAAATTTCCACATATGGTTTCTCTGAGCACCTCACCAACAATACTGAGGGATACGCAAGCTAAAATACCAACTTGGACATCAGAAAAGACTCTTGCACTACAAAAGTGCTCCCTCTTCCACGTCTCTACCCCCACCCGAAACAAGCAAAGGGACAGGCCCCAATAATCTGCAATTTCAGTAATGTGCATAGGCAAAATGGCTAATCTTTTATTCCCTACAGTATCCAGCCACCTAAACCAGGAACATTTCAAAAGTCTTTTATGTAACTCTCAAAGCAATCCCTCCCCTACACTGGACAGCTCATGGAGTGCATCTGGCATATCAACATGGTCCCCCATTTACATAGTGGAAAATTATCTTTGAAAACAGATGACACCATATGGAGAAGTGGATGAAAGTGGATTTTCTTCTCTTTTGGGGATTTATATTATTTTGCGATGCTTCATGGATGGATAGGGTCACTTATTTTAATCCATTTTTATCACAATGGCAGACAATTCTATATCCAAATGGAACAGACAAATCTTTTACTGTCCAGCCCTCTAGGGAAGGTGAAATTTGTACCTTTAAAAAGGAAACAGTGTTCAAAGTACTAAAAGTTACCTCGTTATTAATGTCAAAAACTCCTTCCTGGATTTTCTCGTAGATCTCCTTTGCAGTGTTAATAAATGCCTAAAACAGAGGAAAAAAGACCACATACACAATGAATGAGATATCCTTTGGTGTAAGATGCACTAATTGGAGTTCAATCTCATGTGCAGCTGTTTCAGCAAGACTTTCCTTCCTGACCTCTGCAGGAACAGGTATGACAACAGCATCCTATAACCTACCCTAAAGCAGCAATGGATCACACGCTGTTTACAAAAACAGTGGCACTTTCATAACATCTGTATTCTACAATCTGTTGTCCAGTAATTACAGGGAAAAAGTGGTTTTTAAGATATATAAATTACTTCTAAATTATTTATTTCTGACCCTTATGGATAGATTGTGTGGCAGATGGTTTCCCCTACCCTTAATATCTTTGTAATAGGCCACTCTAGATTAGAGTGCTTAGCAACATAAAACCACAGGGTACTTACAATGATGATGTAGGGATGCTGTCTGCTGGATGAAACCTTATGCTATCATTTAATATTCACCTAATTTTAAGAACGTATTCTCTTTAATTAATCTTGCACACAATGGGCAACAGACATCTTAATAAAAGAAAGGAGATGCCCCAGGTTTTAACATAATTTCTAAAAATCTATTGTTTTAATTCAGAGAAAATACTTTGACACTCATGACTGAAAAGGTGACTGATATAAATGATTTTGGCTAAAGTTTACAATCAATGATTCCATTCTTCATCTCTCATTTAGCTTTATAGGTCAAGCAATGCCTAAAATAATGTATAATTTAGGAGGTAATTAACAGCACCTAGTAATTACAATAAACATACAGTTCTTTTTGTTTTAAAATACCAACACCATGCAATCATACAAGACATGCTACTTTCTGCAGAAGCCCATTATAGCAAGTACAGATCTAATTCAAATATAAAAAAGTAAACAGGGTTCATGGAGAGGAACAAATCATACTTTTCCTCATTTCTACACTGGAAGCATTTGACTGCTGAACTTGCCACCAGAGCTTTGTTTCCTAATTAACAGGACTGATATGTTTTCACCTTTAAAGGCCTTACAGCTCCCCAGAGTAATCAATCTACTGCAGCTCAATTACTGCACCAAGCACACACCACAGTCAGTGAAGGAGACTTGAACGACTGCAGCAGGAGCGGAAAGATATGAATATGCATAAACTCTAAGTGGGTGATCGAATCATCACAGAGGGTCATGAGAATTTGCAGCAAAATAATGAGAAGAATTAATCATTGCAGATTCACAAGGCACTTAGGAAGTGAGTTCGTTTTTCAAACACATGTTAAGAGTTGAGGAGAAAAATTGGCTTTCAGCCAACTATGAACTGATTCAAATTCCTCAGAAACTGAAGTTTTACACATAAGAAAAAAATTCAAACTTATCTTTGTTTCTGATAACACACTAATTATTGTAATGGCCTCGTACATGGGCATACTGAAAGGTATAAGTCAAAGACTTTGGAAATTCACACAGCTGGAATCTGCAAGGATACTTGCTTGCTTCTACGTCAGTGGGACATTAAACAGAACTTGAAGTCTTAAAAATGCATTATGATAACTTCATGTAAACAAGCACTTAACAACTGGCACTTCTAATAATTCTAGAACGTGCTGGCTAAGTACACCCAGGCTCTTACAATCCACGTTATGAGAATTTCTTTACATCTACAAAAATTACTTCAGAGGAACAAAACTAGGATTTTAACAGACTACAAACTCCAAACTAACACAACTGATTACAAATTATCTCCTGGATGCTACACTCAAGAACAGATCACTGTAGGAATGCAAGATGCACTGGAAAACAGCATTGCACAAACACAAACATCCCCCCTGTTATTACATGTGTACTGTACAAAGCAAAAGATCACTGAGTTCAGTACAGTTTATTTTAATATTAAACATATTGTCTAAGAAACTGTTGACCTGAAAAATCCAATTATTACTTTAATCTCAGTTCTATCATTTCGGTTCTCTTGGAAAGACATATCTGACAGTCACATTCCTATCAGTGATTCTGGTGCACCACACATTAGTGTTAAAACAGCACGTACTGTTATTCCGCATGGCAAAATGCCAGGCTGCACTGGGTCACAGAAATAATTCCTATTTGAAAACAATGGTTTGACAAGAATATAGCACATAATAAGTCTACCTCATGTTCTCTTCTTGGTATGGATTCTGAAAAATTGCTACTAATCAGCCATGAGAAAAGACTTGAATCCCTTGAGACTTCCATTTGTTTCTTGCATCCATGTATTTTAAGTTAACTCACACTTCAAAGTGTAAGCAGACTCAAAATAACCACCTGAGAACATCACTGAAAACAGCAGTCTACTTGCTTTAAGAATATCATATCAGATTTTGGCATAGCATGCTAGTGCCCCAATTAGCAAGGACAAGAAGGTGAACTTGGTGTAACTGTCTTCCTCTAAAAATCTCTTTTAATACTGCATGTTCTAACTCTTATCTGGAACATGCAGTATACTATAAACTCTTAATTATTTATGGGCAGTTTATCCTATTTGCAGATTAGCTGAGCCCTAGATGCAGAAAGACAGAGCTGTTTCCCCTCAAATCCAGTTTGGATTTATTAGACCATGTGTAGGGGACTGCAAGAACACAGCTGTAGTACTTCACATGCCAACTTGGATCCAGGTGCAGTTTAGCCACTTCCACACAAGACGAGACCTCAACCAGTAAGCCCACATGGACTCAGCTGGCTGCCTACCAAGCCTACTGCAGTTGTACCACTGTACATCCCCACAACGTTGCTGCTACTAAAACACTACAAAGACACTTGAACCCTTCCACCCCAAATCAGCTCTGGTGGAGGTTTATTTTCATCACTCCAGGAGGTGACAGTACCAGACTCAGCCTGGATTTATACAAAGCCACCTGAAAGATGGCAAGACTCTAGTACACAGAGCCTCTGTTACTCAGAAAAGAAGTGAGAGACTTTAGCAAAAACAGTATATTAGACTTCCAAACACAAAAATTCTTGACATTTCAGGAAAACTCAAGAAAACAATGTAACTTCAGAACAATGTCTACATTTAATGTTTAACTCTTGGTTTTAATCTTTCTAAATCACAACTTACTGACCCTTTTATGCACGAGACTACTGAATATATCTGTACCATAACATTAAAAAAAAAAAAAAGGTTGTAAACAAGTTATTCAGTGATTCATTTTAATGTAATGTGTTTTTCAATTGCGTGCTCGTTATAACTAGGTTCTCGAATAATAGTAATATCCCGTTGAGGAAAATTGTGTTGCTGTACAAGTGGGAAAGTGAGTTTTGCAAGACGTGATCTGCCTGTTGTGTCACGCCTGCACCTACTGCAAAGCTAACAAAAGAGGCTTTTGAGTCACAATATACCAGTATAATATCGCTTCAGATTATTTGTATAAGGAGTTTCCTAGATCATATTGCAACATGAGAGTCAAGAAGTCTCACAGTGCTCACCTCAAAAACCCCCAAACAATCCAAAACACAAAACCCCAACTACCAAACAGTACAGATGCTGCATTTAAGGTAAATTAATCCTAAAAACACTGAATGTAGAACTATATCAACTTCAACATTCATGTTATCACACAAGTAAACTCAGCAATGTAGCTTTACTACCCTTGAGACAAAACCAGAAAGAATGAATTCTATAACTAGTAGAAACAATGCAAGAAGTAAGGGAATAAGTTCCTGATACCTCTGTCTTATGGAAGATGTATGCAGGAGTAATAAGCTAAAGGCACCAGAATTCAAGTTATAGAACAGCTACAGTTAGTTTTTACTTGCAGATGTCAATAATGTCACTTCTCTTTCTTAGAAAGCTAACACCATGACAAGAATTTGAGCACTTAGATGCAAGCTGAGCATAACAGGAAAAACTTGTAAATGAATCACTGATACTTATCAAAACTCAGACATTACAAGTTCATCTTTGCCTAAAATCAGATGTGATCAGGCTCAGCACGGGCAGCTTGTGGAACATGCTGCCCTCTGGTGGCAATGTTAAAATTAAATTTAATGCTTGGCAACAAAAATCGGGCAATCATTAATTCTGGATTCTTTTGTACAATTAAATGAGGAATGTTTAAAGATTAAATACCTCACAAATTCTAAATCATGAGCCTCATTTCTGTGGTCAGCCAGCACCAGCAATTTCCTCCTCCTCTCCAACGTCCCATCTTATCTTTTGGCAGTATGATATGATATAGTTAGATTACTCTAGTATTTAAGAACGCATTTGGAAACAGTAACAAACATGGACTACAAATGGATTTACCCTTACAACATTTACCACTGCAGTGTATAAGTGGTGCTGGATGGCTACTTAATACAGTGAGATTCCAAAGCTCTGAGCAGCTGTTTTATGCACACACAGTAAGGCAATACTTTTTACAGCTAAAGGATCTTTCAGAAACAAGCCTAGTACACTAAAAGGGCTGCAGAGGGGTTAATTATCAAGCAGTAGTAAGGTGCTATATAATGAACCCCACCACTTTTGTAGCCTTATATTTAAAGTACAGATGCAAAAGCACAAAACAGAACTTGGCAGCAATTTCTTTATATGTCCTCATTGAGGCACAATTTTCTGATAAACTTATTGGGAAGATGTACATTATTGGAGCTCAAATTATCTTGAAAGGTCCTGCAGCTGCTGTTGCACAGTTACAAAGGATAAAGTATCTGAGGAAAAAAAAGAAGAAACCCTCAGAACTACGAATCCATCTCTCCAGAAGTCTACAGGTCAGGCAGGCAGTATCATACACTTCATGCTCTTCTATGGAGCCTGAAACTCTCAGTTAACTGAGACCTTTTATTCCCATCATATGCCCAGAAGTCCAATATGCCCAGAAGTCCCAAGAACCATGGCAGAGCTAGTGTTCCTTACTGTGTAGTTGGGGCACAGTCCAAGAATTTGCCACAAGGAACTAAAAGCTGTGAATCTTCACTGGAGACAGGTGTCCTGCCCCTTCTCCCTCCCACAGCTGAACTGACACAAGCTTCAACCCCATTTTCTCATGGGAGAAACTAGCTGAAGTTTCACACAGCTGAAATGTCACAGAACTTTGATTTCCAGAAACTTGAAGGAATACTGCTTCTGATACAAGTTAAGATAAGCCTAACTGTTGAGTTTTGGTTGGCTTGCTTGTTTTTTTGTGTTTTTTTTTTTTTTTTTTAAAAACTCGTGACCTAGAAATCCTGCTCTTTAGCAAGTTCTAATCCGATTACATCATGTGTATCACTCTATCTTACTATGAAAAGTATTAACATCCTAGAACTTTCAAGTTTTATTAACTAAATCCCTACTTACTATATTACCAGGTCAAACAACTGTTTGTTTACCAGCAATTAGTTATGTTCAGGGAGAGTGTGGACACACTTCTAAAAATCAGTTCAAATTTAGATGCTGCTAAGAATCTTATCTTTATATGAGATTTTAATTTTTACCCTTCAGTATATTACAAAAGGCCATCTTCATTCCCTTATCTGAGACAAAGCAGTGCCACTGATGAGGCTACAGGGTCTTTGAATATTCATTACCCATTTAAGCAAAAGTATGAAAGAAGCTGCCTGAAGAGAAAACTAAGTTACAGTTGAAACAGAACCAATGAATGACCATCCAGCTCCATGTAGCAGAAGTGCTCCATTGCTCAGTCAAAACCATGAGTCAATTAAGATTTAATCCTAAATAATGAATCCATTATTGCATTCTATTTATGTGCAGGCAACTTGGAATAACACAAACAGTGCTCTTAAAAGTTTGGCATAGGGATATATAATCCTCTCTATGTGGGAAATGTAGTAAAACCAGCTCCCACACCAGGAGTCAGTGATATGCTGGTGCAACTCAAGTGAGATCAGATTCTGAACAGTGATGGTGTCTGGCACTGCTTTGACCAGCATTCAGAAAACTCTCTGGCTTAAGGTTGGTCACATAATTAATAATTATCAATTAATTGTTATTAATAGGAATAATATTATTGATATTATTAATTATTAAATCTGGAATGAAAGAATCATGCACAAAGAGCAAATGAAAGAACAATGCTTCCCAAATACAGACAGGTATACCTACTTCTTGATAATCAGTGCACATACATGGATTCAAATCACTGATATGATGGGGACAAAAAGATAAACACTGTATGCTGGAAGAGACTGCATGGTCACTGAGTTCTTGCAGGTGATTCTACTCTGCCTCTACAAGTGTTAAGGCACTGCCAAAGCAGAAAGGACTCAGCAAGCTCTGAACTGCAGGTCACAGATAAGACCACAATTAACAGTCATATACTACTCTTGAACTACCAATGAAGAAACAAATGTGCTAAAATTGTTAATGTCTCTTGCAAATGAGAGAGAAAAAAAGTCTTGAGTGTTTTGTATTGATTTAATGAAAGATCAGAAAGCAATGGGTATTACGATTAAAATAAGTGCAAACCTGCCTAGGGCTGGGACTTCACACTTACACACATACAAGTGTAAGTCCCCCAACAGGCATCACAGTGTTTTCTCAGGAAAAAAAATAAATAAGCAACACTGAAGTCTGCAAACAGTACATCAGAGTGCACATCACCCATCCACAATTCAACAAAGAAGAGCAAATATGATAACCAAGATTCTACTGGGAGAAAGCCCACAGCCATGCTCAGAGTGTGTATTACAGAAACCCTGATACAGCTTAGAAATCACTGAGAAGAAAAAAACCAAAGAACAAAAGAATCACTGATGTTTTGATAGTTGGCTACCTTGACAGCTTTAAACAGAGGCTAAAAGGAAATCAAGAACTGTTTAAATGAATATGATACTGCTGAAGAGACTAGCATTAACTGTCCTTGCACTGCAGTTGAATTATGACCCTGTGCCTAACCTCCCCCAAAAAATCCTTCTATCCTCTTGATGATGCAGAAATTCTTTTTACATGATTCCACTCCAAATCAAATATGATGATTTAACTCTGTGGCCACAGTGAATTCTTAGAAGACTTCAAAGTGACTATGAAGGAAGAGCCTACACCTACTTGTACTCCCTACCATCAAGTACCTATTGTGCTTCCCCAACAGCCTTGCACAAGATAAGGAACCAATGGGAAGTTTTCCACTGCTAAACACTTCTGTCCAAGATATAGGTTATGAGACATATTCCTGAAGAACACAATGAGCATTTGAAATTGTCTTAAGATCCAAGCACCAAACAGGTCAATGCACTGCTACAGCTACAGGTTTACTAAGGTATTCCACAGTGCCGGAAATCAGGATTAAACAAAGGAAACAGCTTAAAAAACATTATTGACAGAAGCTGATCTGTTCATGTAAAGAAACTGATAAAGATTAGGATTTTGCTCCTGTAGCTGTAGCTATTCTAAATAATGCCACCTATTTTAGTGTTGACTGAGAAAACCATTTAAGGAATGCACTTGACTGTCACTGAAAAGGAGTATATCCTAAATATATCCTATATCCTTTTCCATCAGAATTAGAAAGCTAGTACACACACATATCACTCATTCATATCATCAGAAGGAGAGAATTCTATTTGAACTTGTTTGATAAAGAACTTTATGCTCATTTGCCTCATGATAATGAGAGATGCATTAGATATTGGACAATTTATTCACTAGAACATACTTTTTGACACAAAGAGAGGTGATAATGTCAGAATCACATAGTAACAAACCAGAATGAATTCTGTTAAAGTAGTGTCTAACTTACTCTAACTTAAAAAACAAACAAACAAACAAACTAGAACATTTCAAAAGTAAAAGGCTTTACTTCTAAAAGAATACGTCATTTGTTGCACAACATTTTGCATTTAGGACAATTCTGGAGAAGAATAAGGGCAGATTAGTTAGTGTAAGAAGTTGAACTATGTCATGCTATTATAAAAAAGGTCACTGCGGATGTAGGAACTGAGTATGGGCTTTAAAGACACGTGAAGCAATCTTTCTGCTTTACATAGCACTAACATCTCAGCTGGAGCACTCTGTTCACCACTGTACTGTGTCTGGCTAGAATGCAGTTAGTTTCCTTTACAGTCTGCATGGTGCTGTGTTTCAGATTTATGACTAAAACAGTATTGATAACTCACTGATGTTTTAGCTACTGCTGAGTGTCAAGGTCTTGTGTCTCTTACTCTGCCCTCCTCCTGCCAGAGATCAGGATTAGGGAAGGCAAAATCATAGGGGACACAACACAGCCATGATATGGCCTAAGGGATATTTCATATAATCTGACATCACACTCAAGAATAAAAACTAAAGGGTAATCAAAGTCACTCTTGCTCACAGTTGTGAGTGACTGCCTTTCTGTCACTCTTCCCTCATGTCTTTCCTTAATTTTTTAAACTCTGTATCTCATTTTTCTTGCTTTGGCTCTTCTGGAGAGAGGGATCCTGCTGAACAGAGGGACCAAGTGAGTAACTCGGTAGGGATTCAGTTGCTGGCTGAGAGCAGTCCACCACAACTACCCTTCAAGAAAGGCATGCAGTAAATCAAGGTGAGATATGCAAGAACTCACATGTGTCCAGAAATATGAACTATAAGCCAAACTTTAAAAGATTGAAATTCTTTAAAGAAGCAAAACCCAAAAAACTTATTCAAATACATAGCAGACTACAGCAACCAAGACAATGACCTCTTCAGCAGCTCTGTAGAGGACAGAAAAAAGAAGCTGTGTGTGAATTGAAGCAAAGAAGATTCCTACTAGGTAGTGGAAAGATGAAAACAACACAAACACGAAAGTACTGCAATAGATTGCTCTGAAGAGCTTGTAAAATATTAGAGGCTTTAAAACAGGTCAGAGTTACATCTGCCAAGAATACCAATAGTTTGGCTTGCTTTGGACTAGCACATCTATTCTAGTCTTAGATTTCAGGGCAGACAGAAATGAGCTATTACTCTGACGAAATACTTAAACCCCACAAATACATTAATAAGGCTCAACAATATAATTAGTGCTTTGCAATCAGGTACACCATTGTCTTTCTCGTAATATAAATTTAAGAGTAGTTAATTCAAGTTAAGGAATCAGTGCTCTAGAGAAACAGTATCTGTACAAAGCGTAATTCAAAGCAACTGTTTTAGTAAAATGTTTTAGTAAAATGCCAGTGTTCAGCAAAGTTACCTCCTCTACATTGGAAGCAGTTTTGGCAGATGTCTCCATAAAGATAAGTCCATGCTCTCGTGCAAATGCTTCACCCTCCTCTTTCTTGACTTCTCTTCTAGATTCTAAATCACTAAGATGGAAGAAAAAAAAGTTATTACATTGTCCAACATGTCAGTGTAAATATTATTCTTCACTAGCATGCTTATAAGCCTTATAAACCAAGAGCCCCCTCCAGAACTTAGGTACATAGGGATATCTATTCAAGCCCTTAAATAAGGTAGAATTACTGTAAGCCTTGCACTCATAGTTGTGGAATAGCCACAGGCATCATATTTGCTTGAACTATCAATCCTAGCTGACATAAATCTTATCAAAGACTTCATGAAATGGCTTTCAACAGGATAGTGATACTTATCCAAGTATTCCTTGAATACTAACTTTAGACATTGTCATTTTAGGTATGTATCACTCTCTTCTAGTAAATGTTATCTACCAATCCAGCACTGTAAAGCTGAGCTGATAAGGGAGCTTTATAAATTATTTCTTAATATTAAAAATAATTTTTAAAAATGAAGTTCATTTTCTCTATTCAGTAGCAAAAACTTCATACAGTCGATTCCCATTCTGATAAAATTATCTAAAAGCAAAAATAAGTTCTTTTGAACTACATTAGCTGTTCTCTCTTATTAAGCTAGCATTTAGGTTTTGGAAGTCTAGGCTTGACTGTTCAATAGTAAAAGAAATTGAAGTAACTACTAGACAATTTTTTGCTTCCTGCTTTCCAAGTAATTTAGTTGAAAGTTAAATATTACACAAAAGAGCAGAAAAAAATCCTCCTGGACTGGACAACTAAAGACAAAACCGTTTACATAAGTCATATAGAAAAGAATTTTATTTTTTAAAGCTTCTTTAGGAAAAGACAGTTTGTCCTTCTTTGTAAATATATTACATCTTATGCAACAATGGTACGCATACATAAATAATAAATATAAAATATATTTTTCAGTAAAGTCTCATCTAAATTGTGCATGTAAAAATACCTCCTCAGGTACACATTTTTAAACTAAACAGCATGCAAACATATGTTTAATTTGCAGTCAGAATACAAATAAAAAGCATCATACTAGGCTTCAGTGTTTGTCAACCTTGTAATTATACATATATGAAAAATAAAGAATACTCACTGTGGCATCTATTTTGCAGCAAAGCAGGTTTTTGTTATTTTTAACAGCTAAATGCTAGCTCAGATGAGTTATAGAGTCAATACAATTCAGCAGATCACTTAAACATTAAGAAATTATTCTGAAGATAAGGATACAAGAAATGTCTTCTCAAAATAATTTTGCAGTTGATGTTCATTATATTTAAGTATTTCCAGTATTAGCTATCTGACATTCTCTTTTTGAACCTAAGAAATGTCTTTATTTGCTACTACCATGCTACCCTCAAAAAATATCTTTCTTAAGAAACCTTGATTCACTTCACCGTTATCTCCATGACAGAACATGAACAACTTTTTACTTGAAATAGTGCAGCTGTATCAAAAACTGCAGTGACAGCCCAATCAAAATTCACTACCAATACCTAAACATATTCTTAAAGAGCTTTAACTGCTTCTACTAACCACAGTTGTCTTCCTCTCTCCATTGGAATAATTCGAAGCATTTGGTCTTACTAGATCAATATAGCTATGCTTTGTTCTGGAAAGAAGATTAAGTACAGTATTTGTCATGTTTTAACACTAGTATTTGTCATGTTTTCAACAAACAGCCATTATATTTCAAATTAAATTCTCAACACTCTTAAAATCCAGCCATAAGTCAGTACTACAAACTTATGTCAAATGCACTTCTGGGAGTCATAAGAACAGTATGTATTCCTTCAAAAATATTATGTTAGTATATGTGCTCTTCCTTCCATCCATCTCTAGCACTATGCCCTACATAAGAACTTTCAGGATAACGCAAGGAAATTGAAAGAGTTTTCTTCCTGTCCTCCTTGAAAAAAATCTCCTTTAAAAAGCTTCTTAAAGAACTTTAGTCCATGTGGCACCTTGATCTGTAACTTAATTTACAGTACAAATTTTAAGAATATTTATTGCTTGAATAGAACCTAGTTTATTGGGGATTCCTGAGCTAACTGCAAATAGCATGTTATAACGTACAATCATGTGGTATAGTCTGCATAGAAAGAATGCAAGACATAAAAATTTAGTTTAACAGCTAAGAATAATCAAGAATAGTTACAGATGTCAATTAAGTATGTAAACTTATGTATCACTAATCTCAAGTAAACAGTGCACTTTACCGTTTCTCTCAGTGCCAGATTTTTATTCACACAGGTATAAATAGAGTTGGTCAGGGACATCACAGGCTTACCAAAGTTTCATTTGATAAAACAGATTACATTTTTATATTGTTTTGTGAAGACTATGCTTATTACATTCCTCAGTGAAAAAGAAAGTTGTCAGTCATCTTCCAGATTTGGTATAAAAAAGTTGACAAACTTCAGAATTACTTAATGCTTAACAAGTGTTTCAGGAGGAGGTGGCAGCAGGTGGGGGAGAAAATAAAAGGATGAAGAGGGGGAAGAAGGAGAAAATATGGAGTTGAACAGGGCTGAGTAGCAAAACCAGACTCACTCTATCACAAGGCTGTTTCTCAGCAGCATCTAAGAAATGACCCAGCTGTTAATTAAATTTTAAGGGGCAAGCATGCACACCATTATTTCAACTGGCATCTTTACCTTCAAAAATTGCTGAGGCATGGAGACAAGTTCAGGTCAATTAGGTAAAGGCCCGTAACTAATGGATTATTAAATTCTGAGGTGAATATGCTTTTGATATTTTGAAAAAATCCTGCATCTAGTAATTCACTGGATCAAAAACTAGAAAAATTACAGACGAACTTAATATATTCACTGATGTGTTTTTATAAAGACTTTCATTACAGATCGAAGCCTCAGCATCAATAGGAATCATTTTATAATTTTGGACAGTGTAGCTGATGAGAAGACCAAGTAAATAATAGTTTACAAATTAGGTGACACTTCTGAAACTTTTAGTTGTATATTCATCACCCAGTGAATTCATTAGGAAATGGTGAAAAAGCATTCTCTGCCTCCAACCCCAGAAAAAAGGACCAGATTATGGAAAAGGTTAATTTAGAAGCATCTCATATAATCATTGAGGTACATACTTTTTACATTAAAGAGAAGTTTCTGAAGTCAATCCTGTAGTATGGGCTTCTGGGTTTTTTTAAATGACATTATTTTTCTGCTGTGATTCTTAACCAAAAACTAAAGCACTTTAGAACAGCTCAAAATAGGAATCATATTCTCTTTATAACAGAGAGATAGAGGTCCTTCTAATTGGTGATTCCAGACGTAAAAAAAACACAATGAGAAAATAATTCACACAGTCCATGACTTCATGCATTCACAGTCAATCCTTTAGAAATAAAATTCTTTCTAAAAAAGGTACTCAGAACATAAGGTAGTTGATCCATATGCTGCACATTGTATTAGTCTAATTACAGTCTAAATAACAGAATAGGAACTGTTTTAGATTTACCACAGAACTATGCCCAGTGACTGAAAGGAATTTAAAGGCAATATTTTTCCTACAAATAAGAAAAAAACAAAAGATGAAATATAGAGTCATAAATCTTTCCCTATTATAAAATAATAGCTGAAAAAAACTTTACCTTTTGTTTCCAATAAGCATTATAACCATGTTGGAATTGGAATGCTGACGAGCATCTTCTAACCAAGTTGTCAAGTGGTTGAAAGTGTCCCTCCTAAGTTATAGAAGAGAAGGAAAATTACAAACAGTATTTCAAGAAATCCTTTGCCTCTCTTTGTCAGCTTCTCTACTTGAGTAATCAAATCATTTATTAGTACACATGCTCCAGGGATAAAAGCTACTAATCCCTTTGTGAGAGATAGAATAGTTGAACGAAAATTTCGTAAACAAGGAGCGTTAATGAACTCTGCCTAAAAAGTAACTGAAAACATGTTTGCTACAAAGAGTAAAGAAGACTCCTATAGCTGTAAGAATCTGTAACTTTATATACATATAAAACCTGCTGAACAGAATTTTAAAAGTCCCCAACAGCTTCAACAATTCAAACAACAGTACAAATCATCACATGCTCATACAGTAATACTTTTTCTACTGAAGGCATAAAATGATTGCTAACTTTCTGAGATTATAAACTGAATAATAACTTTGGCAGTAAAGTCTTTTAAAATGAGGTAAACTAATGTGGCATGTTACAGTTTTTACAGAATGTGTACGCTAAATATTAAATCTCATACTTGTAGAGTGATTTTAAGATAATAATCATCAGAGTAAACCCATTCATATACAAATCAAAGATTCGTTTATTGGAAATCCAGTGGAAAGAATATGTTACTTCCTGATATTTAAACATAAACTGGGAACAAAAAGAAAAACATTTAGGAAATCTCTAGTAAAAGTCATTGCTCAATGCAGCAACAAGAGCCAGGATCCACAAAAGAAGGCACACAACTTCTGAAAGTGTTCAGGCTTCAAAATCCTCTTAAGCCAGCCCCAGTAACCAAAATTTTACAGATAACAAGCTGTATATAGAGACTTTACTCAATACAGCAGGAAAAACTTTGTAACTTCTGAACAGCAACTAAAAAAATTATGACATTAGGACCTGTATTTTCCAAATCTCATAAACACAGCAACAGTGGAGGTTTCCTGGTATTTTTTGTAACCAAACTTCTATGTTTTACTATTTCACTCCTTTGCAGAATGGCACAGCAGTAGTCTGTTATAATTAAAGAAAAATTAAACCTCACGATAATAAAAACATTAGAAAGGAATTAATGAAATATTTTCAGGTCTTTCTTAATTAAGACAATCCAGAGGTTGATGGTCAAATAGTTAAAAAAAAAATTTTGTTTCATTCTTACTGAGCCTTTATGTATACTTATTCTCAACTACTATAAAGAGAAAATTGTAAGTATATACATTACATAGGCTATTTCTTGATTTTGAGCACTTGAAAGTTGACACAATGTTAGACTACAAATATCTATGCAAAAAGCCAAACTAAATGAGACATTTTAGCACTGCTATATATCATAGGACAATTCTATAAAGACATATCATTGTAATCCAGTTGGTATTCTCACCTTGTAATGTCATACACTAGTAAAGCCCCTGCTGCCCCTCTGTAGTATGATCTGGTAATGGAGCGGAAGGACTCCTGCCCTGCCTGTAGAAAACAAAGTGTTGTTATTTCATATCTCATATTTATTTTTTGGTCCTGAACACCACAAACTTAGAATCACAGGATCAAAGAATTTTACTTTTGAGAAGACAGGGAGAAGGAGGAATATGGAGGGGAAATCGGAGAGGGGACAACTGGGGACAAAGTCTCCAACAGTAGCAAGAGAAGGCACATAAGGAGAAGACACAGACTAAAGCACAGTGCTGTTCAAAAAAAAAAAAAAAAAAAACGGAACAAGACCTCTAAACCTTTTTTGGCAATCCCTGACAACCCAATTTACTGAATGGCTTCACAATACATGAATCATTATTAGAGCACAGAATGGACTCCTAGCAACTAAGCTCTGAAGACAAATTTGAAAGGAAGCAAATAACCCAGAGCTTCACATTTGAATTCAATAACCCGCTCCCTGGGGCAGCTGTTGACACTAGAATAAATAAAGTCCATTGTAAATAAATGATGAATGACATCTTTACGCCCACCATCTGCTGGTGTAAAGGTTGTTGGAAGGCCAAGGATGCAGATTTTATCCGTTATATCATAAACTGCAGCCAGCTTTCAACAGTCTTCAGATGGGATTCTTTCATAATCATTTTATTAAGAAGAAACAGAAAATAGTCATGAATTCAATTTTACACAATTCTGCTCCACAGTTAATCAATTTCCTCTGTAGTTGATAAATAATGCTTGTCAAAGTAGCTACAGGACACAAGTCATCTTCATATGAACTGTGAAAAACTTCAGATTCTACATAAATTAGATAGTTCTCATAGAAAAGTATCCTGTAAAATTCTCAGCACTTACAAGAAAATGCTCAAAAGAACACAGTCATGAAAAATACATATTCATAGTTGCAGATCTTGAGCTCCCGATGCTCATGTTTTTCAGAAGAACTATCTAGCACCTGACACTTGTTAGAGGAAATATTTACTTCTAATATTTAGTAATAACAGATGCTTTAGAATAATTCAAAGATAACACAGAACATGTTCAAGAAATACTAATATTAATGCTGAAAAAAACCCTATGTGCAGTAAGTTAGTCATTTGCAAAACTATAGGAAACTGCCCTGATTTAAAACCACAAAAAGTAGGTATGAAATATTTATCATTTAAAAGCTACCCTTCAGCTCTGCCTACAAAATTAGTGTATGAATAACTTTTTCTTCTCACAGTTACTGTACTTTTCTTACTATTAATTCAAGAATTTTTGAATTCAAGGAGAACTTGGTCTAGATACTGTTACTGAAAAAGAACAGTGGCACAACAAGTTTTGGCATGTTCAGTCTTCACAAAACATCCTTATCTTCCAGAATAATTGGTTACTTCAGTTTAAGAAAACACTAGATCTTAGCCATTCTGGTGAAAAAATTAATGAAATACAGACAACACATTTAATAGTTTCAACATGATTAGAATATGTGAGCACATGCTCTTGGCCGATAGTCCACGTGCATCTTGATGTAAACAGTGATAGTAAAATACAGAGAATCCAGTAGACTACACCAAGAAATAGTAAAAAAACCCAACAGTTTTTTAGTGCAATACTTGGTTTCCTATACAAAAGTTCCACTAAGCTCTACTTTTTCTTGGTATGGTGACTAGTTCAAGTGGATGGTGCATACATGAAACATTTCCCTCCTAACCAGAGAACAGAATTGTTGTTACCACTGTATTCCATCTATTGCCTAAATTCATACATGACCTGGACTTTGTCTACCACATTAAGATTGCCTGTTTCACCTTCATAAATTCCACCCCGACACATAAAATTGTTCATTTCCCTGAGCGAATTAATCATGGTCAAGCAAGATTGTCAGAGGTTTCCAGCTGATCTTAAAAGAAGGTTTGAATTGTGAGTTCTTAAAAGAATCACTTACTTAGAGAAGTTCAGTATATAAATCCTGAAAATACTGTAATATTTTTAATTGTGTCTCATTTGCCCATGTTGAAATTTCTGAAGGGTGGAAAATTGTATCTTCTTTGGTGAAAGCATCACATCTTCCATACAGGAATAATGCATTTGTGCTTATCTATACCAACGGACAATACAAACTGGATTCCCTTTCTTTCTAAGCAGAATAAAACTGAGTTTTTGTAAATAAGTTTCATTATATTATTTTTTATTTTATATACAATATAAAGAATGTATTATATAATAAGAAACACATTTTCTCTATATATATAGAATTAATTTACATCTATTTCAACAGTATAATCCTCAATGACATCTGGAAGGTCAAATAGCAGGTTTAGGTATGTGGAAAATACCCCATAGCTTTTTTTTTTTTTTTTTTTTAAGTATCATTATTGCTTAAAGCATTTTTTCATCTGACAACTTGCTTCTTGTCCCCTCCCTTTTTTTTTCAAGGGAGGCAAGCTGTTTCAAAGAAGACAAAACCAAAAGAAAGTGTAGGCTATTAGCCAAAACTGACTAATAAAAAATAAAATACAAGTGTGTTATAATTGTACTTTATCAGTCTTGCAAAGTAGGACCTACCCAAGTTTAGCTACTTGTTACAAGAAGCAACAGATAGAAGTAGCAGTTTAGAAGCTCAGTATTAAATTCAAATTAGTTTTGATATGAGAGAAAAAGCCCTTTATCTTAAGTATAATTTTGTTATTACTATCCCTTTCATGCTCCTTCAAAATCCAGCACTCGCTTGTTTTTATCTTTTCCATATTAAAAAGCTTTTTTTCACATAACCATAGAATGATTGAGGTGGGAAAGGGACCTCTTGAGGTCCCCTGTTGCAACTCCCCTGGCTCAAACAGGGCCACTCAAAGCAGGTTGCCCAAATCCATGTCCAGATCATACGGGCTGTGATGAAGGGAATAGTGGGGAATACAGTCACTAAACAATTGTTAAACAGGGTATTTCCCAAGGCCATATTACATCCAGTACAGGTGACACAAGTCTTTATTCCAAGACAACCCCTGGTTATAACCACTGTCAGAATTACACTGCAGTGGAAGTGGGGTGATGGACAGTATTGTTGGTAATTGCCAGACCATGACAGCGATTTCAAATGCAGAAACTCCAGCTCAGACATGGCTGCCCACAGGAACCAAAACTGCACGCTGAGCAGGCCTGAGCATGCATCCTCTCTCCTCAAAGAAACAGGTGCTAGGTCTGATGTCAGTAGATCACTAATCATGAAAAAATGTGGGCCTCTGATAAACAAGCAATGTTTTAAGTGCTGGCTGTTTTCTGTACTGTAAGCTTTTACAATTCATATCATATTAGTCAACAAACTTTTTGATAAGAAAGCCTTACATAATCATAGTTCTAGAAGTCACAAGTCTTCAAAAGAGTACAAAAATCTTCATCCCCCTTGAACAGCATGAACATACATCCCATGTGCTTCTGAAAACATATTTCAGTATAGAGACCAAAACAATTTCAGAATAATGATGCAAGCAAAACATGAAGTGTTATCATATATAGTGACTTCAGGTCACTAAGACAGGTGGAGAATTAGGACCTGAACTAAAGTTTTCAGGAACATTTAAGCCATGCAACTATGTTACCACAGACACAGTATCTGTAGCACATTTAAGAAAAGACTCCAAGTGTTACTATTCCCAGAGGAAATCTCCATGTCATTTCCAAGTATGTGCTGTAGTCACATGGGTGTCAGTTGCAAAATGGGTTACTTGCAAGTTCTTTACCTTCATATTTTTGAATCTATAAACTAATGGAAAAAAAATAATTAAAAGAGCCATGACACAGGACAGGATCCACAACAGAGCACCTCCCTAGAAAAAAAGTAAATTTTGCTGAATTCTCTATTCTCAATGGTGAAGAATTTGGAAAGTTTCTTCAAGGACTAAGTTATGTGAGTGCATCCCAGCAGGCCTTTACCACCCAAGCTGACCAGCAGTTTTCATTAGGAGGAAACCTTATAGTATACATCTATGTGAAATTTGAGGAACCACAACACACCATAGCTAGTAGCTCTAGACTCCCTCACTTTTAGAATAGGTGTAGGTGTGTGGTATGTTCAAAACCAGTGACAGAACATCTCATTCACACTGGGAATTCCTCATTTCATTTGTTGATACTTTCCTAAGTTGTACCGACATCTAAGAAATAACCAACGTACACAAGTGTCACACCACCTCTGACAGCTGCCAGTTGGGAACTACTCTACAAAGTTGATCCCTGGAACAAAATGTTCCAGTGAGGGGAGCAATACATACCTTTATATATAGTTTTGAAAGTTATAAATAAATTAACAGCCTTTTAGTCACATGGTAACTTGTTTATATAAATGCAATAATCTTTTGTGCAATCGTGTCTCTAATCTAGAATAAACAGAATTTTAAGGTGATTTACTAGCACGTAGCACAAATAGGCACAGCAGTGTAAAAATAAAAACCAACCACTGCTGTTTCCAGCAAAGTCATTCCCAAACAAGAACAGAACTAAAGATGTTTATGAAGAAGAATCCATAACAATATAAGAAAGCGTCAGAATTCATGTGAAGGATTCAGCCAAGTTGCATGGTGCTTCAGAATAACTCCGTCAGCATGAAGAACTGAAATTTCAAGTGGACTACAGATCCCTGAGGGTGAAACTGTACATATGTCTAAATACAGACAATTTGTACATCTGCCCTTCTTCCGTTGGTGTTGAATAAATGCCATTTAGAGATCCAAAGCAATTCTCAACACATCACAGAAATAAAGCTTTAGCCTTCCATTATTAGAAGTACACTTATGGTGTACTTCTGTATGTATGTACTCTACTTATGGTGTATGGTAACCAAACACATTTAAGCATGACAAACAAAGGTTTATGAACGCTAAGCTAAAAGGTGTATCAGATTGCCTCAGCTTCTTGAAGTGCCAGCATGGGTGTGAACAATAACTTAGCTATTGGCACTGAAGTTCAGATGATGGTCATATTACACAAACTGCAATAGGATTAACCATTAAATGGACAAATCTCCCTACCCCACCCTCAGATATATGAATCCAGAAATAAGTTAATCCTCCAACACAGCAGCAAACACAGTCTCTGAACTGAAGATCAAACTAGTTTCAGGAACCAAAGTAGATCCTCTAAGTTCCTGATGTTACTTCACAGCAGTGTAACAGAGGGCCATGATACACAGTCACATTCATGCAGGTTCCAGCGTTATAAAGTCAAATTAGTAAAAGTGTATAAAAGAATACACCAACTGTCCATGAACATAAGAGTATGTTCTCACTACCAAAGCAAGTAGAAAATATCATGAAGTAGACAGTTGGTAAAGAACTCTTGGGGGTGAAGCTTACATCCTAGCAATTGTCAGAATCAGTAAGATGAAATGGATATTCATTTAATGAATGAGGGAACTTTATTTTGTTCTACTAGATCTAAAGTGGTTGCAACTACATGAAAAATAACCTAATTTCCAAGAAGATTTAGTATATTCAGAATATCTGAAAGTGAAATACGCTTTCAACAATTATGTCTCCTGTCTTCCACAAACGTGCTTTTTTGTGTAAGCTCTCATCCACTAGAGAACACTGTCAATTCAGTTAGAAAACACATTTGTATGGAAACCAAGCACTTACTTGCAATTAGTTTATAAAAATCAATTATTTCAGATATTTCATCTGTCTGAGCAATGCTAAGGTGGTACATAAACATAATAAAAACATTTTTAACCCCAGATTTCCATGAAATAAAGCTGAAATAGATATTAAAAAATATAACATTTTAATACACAGGAAAAATTCTTACTCCTGTCAATTTAGACGACAGTAGTATTACTTAGTATCATCTTTGATCTCTGCTGCTGCAGTGTCTGAGAGGACTTAAGTACCCTCTTTCAACCACTGCTTACTCTTGCTCATCAACAATGACTTGTTAGTAACAGTCAATACAATACAGAACATCCCCCTCAACAACAAAATGAAGGCCACTGACTCAGCCTGGTAACAAGCCAGCATCTCTCCACAACAATGACATTTTTCTGAGGAGAAGCCATTTTAATATTTCTCAGTGTTATGCTGCTGCCACAAGACAACTAAGCTCATCTATACAGCTTGTTTAAACTCAGAAAGCTTAGCAGCTTCCAGAACTGGGAGTCATTTTAATCCTTACTTGCTGCTGTACACCACTTTTAGTTCCCTAAAAGATACTTGTGCAGCTGACACTAGCTCAAATACCACACTTCCACAAAAGAGTAGCCTAATTTATCACAATGGGCAATTACCAATTAATCAGTTGGACAAAAGTATTTCTCATTCTATCCAACTATTGAAAGTAACTACTAAGATTAAAGATACAGTAAATGAAATAATCTAGATACAAGACAGACAAATGAACAATTTGGTCCCATACCTCGACTCCTCTTGACTGACCTAAAGGCATCAAAAAGGAAAAGTGAAACCTAAGGACTCACAGACCTAAACACCTGGCCATGCCACAGCACACAGCAGCAGCAAGCCTGCAGAGCCCAGCAGTGGGGAGATCCAGAGCAGCCTGCAGCTGGGAGAGAACAACAGGACACGCTACTTGCTTGTGCTGGCACGAACAGCAGAGCCAAGACTGCAACATAACACTAAGTATGTGAGGGCCATACTGAGTATCTTTCATAGAATGTGAGTTTTCAGCTGTGGGTTTTTTTTTTTTCTCCTCGGGATGGGTGTGTTTTTTAATCAGACTAGTTCTACTAGACTACCAGCTCACAGGATCAAATACCGGACTACTTTCTAATGGGCATACGTGCATTCCTTAGTCATATCTTCCAGTCTGGCCTCATCCAAAAGGAATTCAGTTTGTATACTCCCATACGAAAAACAGACTGCAGTAAGCAGAACTAACTTCCATAACACAATCCTGATCCAAACTAAGATGCTAATGAAAAGGTAAAACATTCTTGAGTTCTGATACAAGAAGGACACAAAAATGGATCTCACAGACATATAACAGTGTTAGCTTCAGCTGCTCCTGTAAGGTACAGCATAGTCCTGCAGTGAGGTATGCTGCATCTTCCATATGTTCCCTTTATTAAGACACACTTTTCCTTGGAGCTGCAGTGATCTACTGAAGACAACATGAAATCATCACTGTTGCCTAGAAGAATCGAGCCAGGAAAAACGGAATTTTTGATTCTCTTAAGAAAGCAAGTTTATTGTTGAACAATCAAAACAAATTTTATTCAGTTCTCTAATTCTTATGTATCTGCTCAGGATGCATCCTGTTCAGTGAAGGATTAAAAGCAGGTGTGTAAGGCTAGCACTAAATCAGAGAGGTGCTGGTGTGTGACTCAGTAAGCACCAACAGAAACAAAATACTTCACATCTTTCCTTTGCAACAGGTGTAAAATAAACTTTCTCTTATTAAATAGAAATTGTTATAGCTTAACAAATACAGAGATACCACCAGTAACAGTAGCAGTCTTGGCTAACAGCAAATCGGGGAATACTCAGTGAAGATACATGACACAGGCATAGTAACCTTGGTCATTATGGACACTTTTGTGTCCCATAAGTAAAGTATCTCTTGAGAATTACCTCATCATATTTGTTATTTTTGCTATTCTTTCAACACCTCTGCATGCAAGATCAAAACTGAGATAGTGGAATTCAGGTATGCTTACAAGCCAAGATTAGGTTAGAATAGAAATATCCCATGTTTTAAAAATCAGATTATAATCTTTAAATTAAAATAGTTAAATAATCTTTAAATTAAAATAGGTTAATTTTTAATTATGGCCAATACACTAAGGCATTCACTGCTTACAACATAAGCATACAGTCTACTCAGTGAATGAAAGTTTTCAATTAATATTTTTAATTTCTGTACGATATACTTAAGAAACTTTCCAGGAAAAAATCCCTGCTCAAAAGGAGTTTATAGATTATAGTCAAAAGCAATTGGGTTGATATTTTGGTTATTAGACAATTTACATGCATTCAAGATGACAGATTCCAAAAAGCCAATGAGTCAGAGGCACTAAGACAAGCACAGTCTACTCAAACATAGTTGAAGTTCATTTGTATCTGAGGAGATTAAGAAAATCAGTTCAAAAGCCAAAGAAAGACAGTGGTTGCACTGGTAGTAAAATTAGCACTTTTGGCTACAGAGAATCTGTCCAAATTTTAGAAAACAAGGACTAATCTAGATATATTCTCATGTAGTCACAGGATATACCAGAGGTTTGATTATGAGGTTACTGTTTTTGCAGAAATTTGCTTGTTTATTGAACTTGAAAATGTTCAGCCACCTTGGTAATCAGCAATGCACAATTATAGTAGTAAAAATGTCCAGGGCATAAAAAGCCTAAAGTAAGCTGACCATATCATTCTATACCTTTTCACAGAGAACTTTCAAGGAGACATGGGTGTCAGATGCCACTTCACACCATGAATTGGTAAAATAAGTAAGGTCTTACCTATGAAGTTCACTAAGTTTACATTTTAATATACACATGCACATATGTGGGCATGCATATATGAATGTATGATCTTTCACTGACTTGCTGCACCAAAAAGAGCACATACACAAGGCTACAGTTCATGTACCTGTCAGTTTCTTAAGGCATTCTAAAATGCTTTTGGAAAAGGGATCAGGCAACTCTGCTTTAGGGAACAGTTAAACACATTTGAAAGACAGAGCTATCAGTCAGTGAGGCTGACTACACTACACTAAAGTGGCAAGAAGAAAATAGCAAATGTATGTTCTTAACCTGAACTGCCTCAAAAGTCAAAGTCTGATTTTGGAAAGCTTTTTGAAACTTTAAGCTTTTACCAATCCCTTCTTGACTATCTGAAGTATTTACTGTCTTCATGATTATAATGAACCTTATTCTTAAGTGTTCTTTCACAAGAAGTGAGCCATACGTTTTCTTCTACCTTGGAAATGCAACATTTCCTCTAGAGAACTTGACTAAAGCTAGTAGACACATCACAATCAGATGCTGTATTTACCAAATCTTGCATAAATGCACAAAGATTATTCAGAGAAATCTAAGTTGTTAATATTATAGAAGATTTTCACAAAAAATGAGACAGCATGAATTGAAGTCTTACAAATCTGACAGTGTCGAGGAAATTAGTGTAAATACCAAAAAATTGTACTAAGAATACATCACATCAAAAAAGGAAATTTTAGCAAATTTTTAACTTCATAGAAACCAAAAGAAGGTGCAAGACAAAGTGCATAGCGTGAGTGTTGATAGAGAGCTTAGCCAGAATAAAGGAAAGTTAGTGGGGCCATATGTTTAAAAAATTTTTACAATTTATTACTTACCGTATCCCATATCTGAAGCTTTATCTGTTTTCCATCAATAGTGATCATTCGAGCACCAAATTCTACACCTGAATAGATTTTACAAAAGTTTACGTTATTAGCATATAACAGAAAGAGGAACATCAAATACTATGAAAGCAAGAACATAA